GTAACGGAATACGTTACAGAATACATTTTGGGGCATGTATTCTGTAATCTGTAATGGAATACATTTTAAAAGTAACCTTCCCAACACTGGTGGTGGGGCTACTCTTTTGCCCCCTGCTGAAATAAGAACTTGTTGATGAAACCAAGGAGATCTATGACTCTATGCCTCAGAAAGTTCTGGATGATTATCATGCTCCTGAACCCGTCAAGCATGTAGAGACTGCTGTTCGTCCTCAACTCAACACTTCTGTGAGAGCAAACAATGTGTGTGTCATCCCAGAGACTCTTAAGCCTGTGTCAGCTCAGTTACCTGCTCAGCAGCCACCTTCAGCTAAGTTTACAGTGTTTTCTGCTCAGCAGCCACCTGTAGCCCAGTTAGCCGCCCAGCCTGTAGCCCAGTTAGCCGCCCGGCCTGTAGCCCAGTCGCCTACTCCACCACCACTTTCATCTCAAATTCAGTCACCCGTAGCTCAGGCTTCAACCCCGCTACCCATAGCTCAGTCGCTACCACAATCAGACTTTCTGCAAACTTTGCTACAGTCCATAGCCCAGTCAGTAGCGCAGGTAATAGAGGAATCATTAACTTTGTCATCAGTTTAGTCAGCCACTCATCTTCACCGTCAGCCAGGAGTCCCAATTGCCTCTGGTCCTGCATCTGCTCCAGCTGGAGGGCCCGAGGAGCCCGTCCACCCTCAAGTCTCGTCAACATCCCCTGCGACTTATACACCGTCACCTGCAGCATCCTCATCAGCTACTTCCACATTGTCACCTGCGGCATCGCCGCCTGCAGCATCGCCGCCGTCAGGTTCTGCAGCCTCTGTGTCTTCATCCACGTCTAGCTCAGCCTCTGTGTCTTCATACTCGTCTAGCTCAGCCTCTGTGTCTTCATACTCGTCTAGCTCAGCCTCTGTGTCTTCATCCTTGTCTGGCTCAGCCTCCGTGACTTCGCCTTCACCTGGTCCAGCTTCGGCTCCGCCTTCGCCTGGTCCTGTCTCGTCAGCTTCATCCTCGTCTGGTCCTGCCTCGTCTGCTTCAGCCTCGTCTGGCTCAGCCTCGTCTGGTCCTGCGGTAGCCACACCGTCATCAGTTCCAGCTCGTCCTGTTCCGCCTCGCCTCTGCCTCCTGAGACAGTTCGTCGTCGCCGCTACCATCGCGTCCGGCCTCCGGACCTGCTCTGTTGCTGCCACTGCCTTCCGCGTGGCCGGCCTCCTGATTTGTTTTTTCTACGCCACCGCCATTGTCGTCCACATGGTCGGCCCCCAGAACTGTTTCCCCGTCATGGCCGTTGCCGTCCACATGGTCGGCCCCCTGAACTTTTCGTGGACTCATGGTTTGACCCTGTGTAGTTTGTTTGGGTTTTTTTTCTGTTTATTTCTGGACTTGTGCTCCTTGTGTTGTGTTTTGTTTCCATTTTTTCCATCAACTGGTAGTCTTTATTAAATAAAGTATGAGTTTGTTGCCAACACACGCCAAAGAACCCAACACCTCTAAAAGCAGCTGGTTTCCTTTTATACTCTACCTGATTCAGGCGACCATTCTGGAAAGCACAAGTCTATAAAGTGTGGTGTTTCCAAAAGGTTGATTCTGTTCATCTGGACGTAGAGTTTTCAGTGGGAGAAACATTTCGTCACTCATCCAAGTGACTTCTTCAGTCTCAGCTGACTGCAGGTTTCCCCAATCTTATAAACAGTACATTTGCACAATAGCTGAAACCAGCCCACTGAATGAACAATGGGCTGTGAGGTCAGTTCCTTCATCATATGCAAATTGTCAAGTCTAGTGTTGGTAAACCGAATGAAAAAAAAAGAAACATCCACAAAAGCAAACATCGAACCACAATACAACACACACACAATACTTTTGTCACAAGGACACTTAATGGACTGGAGCTGGCATCATTACACCTAAGCTTACTGAGCTACTATCACAAGTTAAATTGTAGCTAATCCATTAATATTTGGGCTGGATTCATGAAACTTTAGCCAAGTGTACATTTATTTAAAAAAAGTCACAGAAATTTGGATTATTTTTGACTGAAAAGCAAAAGTACAAAAAGCAGAGAAAGAGCAATGCAGTTTTACTGATATATAAACAGAAACACACAAACCTATGTGTTAAAAACATAACCCACACAACCCTCCAGAATCTCAACTTGAACTAAACTCTAAAATCAAAAACACTCAAAACTTACTTACACTCAAACAACAGAGAATAAACATCATCTTCATTAATTAAGAAATAAATCAGATATAAAGTAAAATCTTTTAAAATCTGGAGTTCAACACAAGTTTGTCTTTTAAATCAAATTTTAAGTAAATGTACAAGATTTAGAAATATATTATCATGATTCCTTTATCACTAAGAGTGAAGGGATCTCAGCATTCATGAGTGATCCAATAATTTACAAGAAAACCCCAGAAACACTAAACTAATATATGTTTGAGTGAAGATGGACACACAAAGGTTTAATTATGATTGTATTGAGACTGCTGTGATGCTTTCATTGTTTCATATTGCTTTTACTGTGTTTTACGTCTCCCCAAGTGGTCACATCTTTGTTAGATTTTTTTTAAATTGCCTTTTTAAAACTGAAAACAAAAAAATGGTAAATGGCCTGTATTTGTATAGCGCTTTACACATTCGGTCATCCACCCATTCACACACACATTCACACACTGGTGATGGCTACATTGTAGCCACAGCCACCCAACAACATATTCAGAATAATTTAATGCCACCATTATGACGTATATGTTAAACATTTGCCAACTCATTTCCATTAAATATTGACTAATAAGCATCTGCAACTATATTTTAGACTTTAGATCTTTTTAACAGATTTTATGATGTGAACAATCAACAAATTCAATGAATTCTAGTTTATGGAGAAGAACGAGCAGACATGTCTTCTCTCAGGTTGTCTGTAGAGATAAAAAAAAGAAATAAAATAAATGTTAGGATTAATCAAATCCACAAATAACCTTTTTACAGTTTCATTAAGATCTAAAATACTCCTGATTCAGTCAAATATTTACTTCATATGTTTCTGAAGGGAATTAACACATTTGTTTTAATTTTGTTAAATCATTTCATGAAATGTTCTTTTAAAAGTATCGTTCTCTTAATATGATTTAAAGTTATACTAAAGCACTTTTTTTGATATATTTAAACAGGAGATTTTACTACAGCTACTATTTTACATTAGTTTTAAAAGAAAGATAAAACATGAGACACAAATATGTAGTAACTCACTGTGTGCAGAGCTGTTTGTGGTTTAGTCTTGAAGAAGCATTGGCTCCTGGCTCCCTGCAGCTGTAGGTCAGAAACACAATGTTAGTCCACATCCTGCTCTCATCTGTCACTTTTACAACAATCGAACACAACAGGAAACAGCCCTGAAAGACTGTTTAAAGTACAGAAACCCTTTTTAATTTAGTGTGGACAAGAGACAAAGTTTAACTTACGAGATGGGGGACGTCTGTCTGAAATAAAAAGGAAAAAATGCATCATTTTAATAATTTGTTATAAATGTTAACACAATTTTTTTTCATGTATTATACATGGCAGGAAACATAACTTCATATTTTCATTTTGTAATCTGGACAAAAGCATTAATTTAATTTGTAAAATTAAAAACATAGACACTGAGCTTACTCACTAATGTGTTTATAGATATATTCTGACTTTTCCCACAAAATGTGCTCATGTTAAATTTATAAGTAAAGCGACTGAAGGTAGAGAACGTACACATTTCTAATGCAGGTAAAGGTGTAGCTTAGGATGTGTTTGTTTGGCAGAGTTGATGGTTAAGAAAAGAGAAACAATGTTTGGGTTTCAATAACTGAGTTGGTGGTTATTTTGTTCACTGACAACCAAACTGTAGCTCAGGTGTAAAAAACAAAACAAAAAACAAAAAACAAAAAACAAAAAAACCACAAAGACAGAAAGAAAAATGATGCAGAAAAAAGTAAATAACAGACAAGAAGAAAAAGTGAAGTAACTGGACAAAAATCTACAAGTGGGATAATGCAGAGAAATGAAGGGGCAAGTTATGAAAGACAACAAGCATGATTAATGAATATCGTTGTAATATTTTGAGGATTTAAAAGAGTCTGATCATCCTGCTGGCAGAGAAAGTGTTAAAATACTTTAATATGAACCTGAAGACTCAGCTTACGCTGCTTTTGGTTGTTACCTGTTTAATCCTGTGTGCATTGTTTGTTTTCTTTTGAAAACTGTTAATAATGACTTCAATTAAGTCACATTACTCTTACTATCATTATTATTGTTTGCACTATGTCATCATTGTTGTTTGCATTATACAAGAAAAATCCAGGAAGTTTGTTTCTCACCTGTCCTCTTTTTGTTAATAATGAATGCGATCACAGCGATGACAGCAAGAACAACCACAGCAACAACAACAGGGATGATCAGCTTATTATCTGGTCCGGAGATGGAATTTCCTGTGGATCACAGAACAAACAAAAGGTGAGAACAAAACTTTCCAATCAGATAACAATCATGTACAAGAGCTTTGTTTATGGTCACTACATGTTTGTCCCACTAATGTTTGTTTTCATTCTAACAATAAAAGTTCTGCCATTAAATTTAATTTCAATACATTGCTATGTTCAAATTTATTGGCAATGTTTCAAAATATACATTTTCCCCCATTTACTATTTAATCTTCTAAAACTGTCCATTAGTCAGATAATCAGTGGCCACACATGAACAAGTTTTATATTCATCAATGTTCAGCAAGAAAAAAATGTGGTGGAAAAACACAACTTGGTCTAAACTGATTTAGGTCTTAAAATTATTCTGATAGAAGCTGAGAGAAAGAATATCAAAGCAAACAAACTTTCTCATCCAACATGAGCTACAGGGCTATTGCAGTAATTTAAGTGTGTGTTTCCCATGTTTATCACTTATCTGATCCTGATTCCAGACTCACCTTCATTGGTCTTGATCGCTGCTTTGTCCAGTTGGATGACGATGTCCTCGTTCACACCAGAGAGCTGAAACACACATCTGTATCTGTGCCAGTCTTCAGGTTTGACTGATGAGACATCCAGGTCAACACTCATCTGGAAGGTCCCGTCATTGTTGGTGAGAATCTCTCCTTTGTTCACACCCTCATGAAGCTCCACTCCATCTTTTTTCCAGACCATCTCGGCTCTGTTAGGATAGAAACCTGTAGCGTGGCAGGTGACCAGAGAGGAGGAAGACTTCTGGAGGAGAGACACTGAGGGACGCTCTGTGGAGTAAAGACAAACAGTTCATTCTTTCTGTATTATTACTATTACTTTTATTTGAGCTGGAGAGGCGCACAGTGCAGATGAGACGTGAAGAAGAGAGTGCAGACAAGGTGGAGTGGATGGAGACGAGCAAGAATGGAAAGGAAGGTTTACAAGATGGCAGTGAGACCTGCTGTGATTTAATATCTGAGGATGGTGGCACTGAGACAAATACAGGAGACAGAACTGATGATATTAAAATTATCATAAGGAGTGAGAAGGATTAGAAATGAGTATATCAGAGCTAAAACTGTGGAAGATGATCTGCTGTGACGACCAGGAGCAACTTTAAAAGATGATTATTATTATTATTATTATTATTATTTAAACCATACCAATTTCTTTTGATGTGATGTAAAATTAAATTAAATTTAAAAACTGTGTCAAAATGCCACGCGAAGTGCAATTATATTAACCCTTTCACACATAAGGGTCACTACAGTGGACAATTATTCAAAGGCTGTTTTCTTGTATTTGTGTCAGTGTTGATGGTAAACTTGCACATAAACCACTACATTGGACACTGATGAGTCACTCCATGCCTTGCAGGGTTATAGTTGTTATAGTTGTTACATATATTGTTATACTGTTATAAAATATTTTTAAAATATTTAAAATATTTAAAAATATATTTTTGTTATGTTATAGTTTTTACTCAGTGTATATTAATTATTCATTTGTCAAATTCATAAGTCAAAATGTTTGTTGTACAACTAAGTGGACATTGTAAAAATACTCTTTGAAAATGAAAAGTACGTTTAAAAAATGAAGTTCAAAAATCTTTTTTTCATGCCTTAAGATGAACAAAAATACTCAAGAAAAAAAAAAGCCCTGATTGAAGTTTTCATAATTCATGCATGAAAAGGTTAATTTAATATCATATTAAGTAATAAACTGAGACATATAACTTTTGGTTAACAATCTAATTCTGGTCATAGATTTTACCTGTCCTCATCAGAGAGCTCCTCCCATAGCTCACATACTTCTTCAGCCACTCAGGACACTCCTGGGTGAGGTAGTTCTTTCTCCGAACAGTCAGAGCCCAGTCATGATCCAACTTCTGTCTGATGCTGTCAGCCTGTTGTACAGGAGCGACCCACGTCTCTGTCTTCAGGTCAAAGCTTATGAAGTCCTCTCCATCATAGCCGTATTGCTCATATCCATTCACTTCACCTGTGTCATCATCCCATTCACAGCCGTACATCCACTGGACAATGTGAACACCTGACAGAAACACAGAGACAAAGACTGCAGTGAACCAGAGAGAGAGACTGCACTAAAGTCTTACACTGACACAGAGACGTGATCAACATATAGAGGATCTACATTTATGGCTGCTTTTGTCTCAGTGG